AAATCATGAAGGACATGGATTACGTGAGCAGTGTTCTGTTGTGCACCAAGTCCCAGAATCCTCTCACTGGGACTAAGGGGCACCTGCTGAAATTGGTAGGTGACAGGTTTAAAACGAACAGGAGAAAGAACTGTTTTAGTCAATCTGTAGGTAACTTGTGGAGCTCCTCGCCCCAGGAGGTGGTGGAGGCAGAGAGCCCAGCCAGGGTCAACATAAGACTGGATAAATCCATGGAGGATAGATGTATCGATACCTCTTGAACACAGAGGTTGCAGAGGTTTCCTCTGGTATTTCTGAACCAATGACGGTAGATGCCAAGGTGAGTAATGAAGAGGGGATAAGTCACTTGTCCTCATTGAACCTCATGAGATTCCTTCTGGCCCATATGACCATGACTCCAGGCAACTGCCTGAAGTGGGATGAGATTGTGACTTAACAAACGAGGACCTGGTTCCTCAGGACATTTAGCAGATGTCTTTTTCTTAGGATGGTAGACGTCATGACTGCAGGTTAGAACGTGTTCTGCGCGGAGGCCTGGCAATACCGACTGCGATCGGGACAGGGCTGGAGCTGGTTGTGTGGTCAACACGCTTGTCAGTCCCAGTCCGCACCGGGGTCTTGAACTGGCTCCGGTGGAGTCAGAGGGTCTAAAGGCAGAACAGTCAGTATTTGAAAACAGTTTAATCTCAGGAATGGCAGGGACCTGCGGAGGTCAAATCTAGTCTGACGCCTTCCTGAGGCTGGATCAGCCTGACCCTAATACGAGGGGGAAAACCCTCTGGCCAGGACACACCGGCTTGGTCCCAGCAGGAACATTGGCACAACCCAGTTTACTAGCTGTAGCCGACACTCAATGCGTCTGAGGGAGGTTTGGACTGACAAACCAGTGTCTGTGGGTGCCAGCCCCCACCCCGCACTGGACTGGGTGAGGCCCACTTGTATTATCCCTGTGGAGCAGCCACACGAAAGCTGAACTCGTGTTAGGCACTACGGTCTGGAGATGCCTGTCCTGCAGAAAGTCCTCTCTTTAATGACACGCCAAGGCACTGAGCCAGTGTTTTACTGCTTGCACACAGTGTCATGCACCTTTTACATGCTGTCATTTCCTCTGGGTGTGCAACTCAATCTTGCCCTGAGGGTAGGGACTGGGAGCCAGAGGGGAAACAGGGCAAAACGCAAATAATGCACCCCAAAGCCAGCCACCAAAGTGCACCCCTGAGCTGCAGAAGGCCCTACTGCTGACCCCAGGTGAATGCTGAGAGCCAAGCAAGGTTCAAAGAGGCTGTCCTCCCTGATGAAATATTCACCGCATCAGAATTAATATCACATTTTAATAGAAAATTCAATAACAAAATACAGAAAAGAGAGAAAGGGCTAAACAGGACCTATCACATGTAGGATTCATGTTGATACCATGCACATGTAGCTAAAGGCAGAACAGTCAGTATTTGAAAACAGTTTAATCTTCTGGTGTCTAAGTCCTACAGTCAAAAAGCCTCTAGCAGGTAGACAGTCCGCTAGGGAAGGACCCGTCATGCCCAGCTTCTAAACCAAAGTTGCTGAATAGTGCTAATGAGGCACACGTACAAGGCAGTATTTCAGCAAGAACCACCGCTCTAGACAGAAGAGCAAATGCCCCAAAGCAGACCTAGTTTCTATGCTAGATGGCTTGGCTAAAAGATCAAAACCTTTACTAAATAAGGGGAAAGAAATAGGAGTGTTTCTAATGGGTGCCACTCTCATATTCCTAGGGCGGGTCCTGTTCACTATATAAGCTAGATCTTGTCTAAAAGTAGCCTGGTCTCTCATTGCACCACTATAAGTAATCAAGGTGACCTTGCAAGTTTTCCCCTAGGTTTTCAACCCTTCTTTCCAAAGTTTTCTTCAACGGTTCCCATCCACTGGTATACCCTCACCTGAGCATTTCCTTTGCCTGTTTTTCTCTTAGCCATATTATAGGCCAGCAGATCCCATGAGAAGGACTATCCTATCACTAAACAGCTCAAAGCCTACTCTAGTCTACACCCTGGGCCAACACGTGCAGTGGTGCCAGGGCAATCCAGGCACAGCACCATGCTTTGATGCGTCTCATTCCCGAGGCTGCCCCAGCTAGGGTCACACTCCCGGGGCCCAGCGCAGCTCAGCTCTGCATTTTGGAGCAGTGGCCATCACGTCCCTCAGGTCTTTGCAGCATGTTGCACTGAGCTCTGGATCCAGCTACTGAGGCATGAGCCTAGTGCAAGGGGCAAGGGCAGCACAGGACTTGTTCCTGCTCCTGTTTACCTGTCACAGTGTTACACAAATTGCCAATTGCTCATATCACAAGTGAGACCTTATGAGGCAGGATAAGGCAAGATGCCGTGTTTAATGACTAAGCGCTTAATGCACACACATGCACACGCACACGCACACCCACATTCAGACCCTAATTTCTGTTCTGTGCTGGTATACGTTACCAGTCTTATCAGTACTCGGATTAACTTAGTGGCCAGCCAAGTTGACCACGAGTAGGGAGCCAGGCTCCTGTCGGTCCATCTCATTAGATGAACTGATGCTCCAGGACGACAGGCAGAACAAGACCCAAAATCGATATGTCTCACCCCGTGCTTTATAGCCTTGTCAATTCACCCACTCTTCTGGGCTTTTGCTGGGTTATCACTGTGTTCTTCCTTGAAGGTCGCTTGCCGTTGTTCTCCCGCTGTTCTGGGGTGGATTCTTCTTGTTTTGGTCTTTTATCTGTCCGCGCTCTTCAGCCAGTCGCCAGCTCATGTTTTCCTTTTCCACAGACGCGCTCTCACCCATTCAATCACACATACAGCATACAAAGGTCGAGCACTTATGTCAAGCTACAGAGCAATACAAAATGGAGTTTCTTAAGACAATGAAAAGCTCATGAAACTTTGTAAGATTAAAAGCAATAGGCAAAAC